TATATATATGTATACATATATATGGACTGTATGGCCATATAGCAGCTATGTAGGTGTACTGTAAGGTGTAAGGGCAGTGAACTAGTATCTGGAGTTATCGGTTTTATTATATCCAGGAGCTATTGAAAGTTTAGTTTATGGATGATACAAATACAACACATGAGCTTAATAAATGTGCGACCACATCCGCAATATTTGTCGTCCTAAAAACGGTACTTAAACTGATTGGTTGCACTGATTGTAATGTTCATTTGGTGCATTATGATAATTCCATTATGAGATTATGAGAATTGATAAACGTAGATATAAACGAAAGTATAAAGAATTGGTACTAAAGCACCGCTTAGCTATAGAATTTCCGAAAGAGATAAGTATTCCAAGCATAGTTGGGAAGCAGTCTTAAATCGCTAATATTTCTTTTCACTTATCATGCACAGACCGGAAAATGAGAACTTTGCAACCTGGTGTGATTCAGGCACCCTCAAGAAAAGCACCTTTCCTGTCATAGTTAGGGCGCGAAATATGATATAATCCAGACGGTATTAATGAATTCACGTTCGTTTGTATCACACTCTATTAACAAGACAGTTCCGGAGAACAACTTGACTCCTAGTGAATTCTACATAAAAGTGAAAAAAAAAGACGAAGACATAGTACTTTGAGTGAAATTCCATCAGTATGTAATGGAAGGACTGTAGGAACATTTTGCAACGACATTTATAGAAAAAAAAAGGCAGAAATTTGGTATCGTTAAATTAAACAGTACCAAATTAAAATTAGTTAACGAGCAATAAAGTAATAAAAGTGTTCGTTTTAGGTGATAATTGTTATCAGTTGAAAGGAAAAGCAACAGTTGACAAATACCATGATTGGTGATGATAATTGTTATCAGCTGAAAGAATAAGCAACAGTTAAATACCATGAGCGATATAGCAGTCAGTGTGATAACTAATTCCTTCCCTCAAGTATTGTATCGCAGTGAATTGCCAATGTAATGGAATGAAGTGAGGGAAAAAGGGTTAAGAAAGAAACATATAAAGGGACACAAACCTTAACCGTTAGCGACGACCAAGATCCCAGTTCCCCCGAACCCCTTCTTCCTCTTTCCTTCCCCTGCCTACCCCCGCTCTTGCTTTCCTTCCTATCATGTTCTTTTAACATGGCGTTATCGGCAATGGATGCCTTCTTCACCTCTTGCCCACTTTCATGACAGTAAACACTTCTTACATCGACGATAAATTTCTTATGTTTTCCGTTCATTTCAATTTTCATTTTTTAATTCATTTCTTTGTCTTTTATTCTTCCAGTACGTTCATCATTCAAAGAAGGAATGAGGTGGAAAAATGATTTATTCGATTATTTGTGTTAATTACTTTTGAGTATAATTTCATCTTTACAATCCGAAAATACTTTTGTTTTTTTTTAACGTGACAATTTTATTCAACATTCAGTTTCATTTACATGTACTCATCAATTATCGTTTTACATAACAATTAGTTATTTCATCCATTTTTGTTTCACATACTAATTGTTTCTTTATTAATTATTGTTTATGTACAGTAATTTCAGATAACAAATAATAAGATGAAATAATATTGGAGGATCCTTATTTATCATTGAGCACTTTTTTTTTCGAAATTATTTTCATCCTTGTTGTTCGGTAATTGGTTAAGTGACTAAATTATTAGTTACACAATATAAAATATCCCCCAAATGATACCCATTATTCATTTACTTCTTACTATTTTATTGCACTAACAATTAATAAAACAAGAAAAAAAGTGTTAAATTTAGTAAAAGTTGTGTACATCTTGTATTTTTTGCGAAAACCGTTGTTTCAGGATCATTTCCAGAATTCTGGTTTCTACTGGTCAGAAAAAGAAAAAAAAACGATAAAGAACATGAAGCTTTCATTCCCGTTACTTCATTTATTGGTTTACTTAAGTCTTTAAAAGAGGGTAAAAACAACAAAGCTTTGAAGAAATACGTGTAACCTTCAAATTTCGACGATTACATTGGTTTCTTCTGTCATCATCACTGCCAATGCAAAATCCAGTTGTAAAAAGACGAAAGAAAAAGCACTGTTTTTCCTATTCATTTCTTAACATTTAATCGTTTCCATTTCTTTCATGAAACTTCCATATAATTCGTTTCAATTAAAATGCATAGTAGTGTCATTACACTAGTTTTATGATGTGGTTTTATGATGTTGTGGTTAATCTTGATACGATTTCCTTTTATGAAAAGATTCTATAATTTTTTTTTTCCGACAGAATGCAGTGCTTTATATTTAGCATGGTTACATTAAGTAAGATTAAGTAGAATGTACTTTTTAATGTAAGCAGTGTACATCTTACTTGATTAGATTAAGGAGTACAAGTACATTGCTTCCTATGCCCAAACAGTTTGAGTTCGATGTCCGGATTATCCTGAACACTATGTCGTCTTTTTTTCTTGTTATATACTCTACTCCCTAATTTGCATCAGGAGTCGTTCGGATTCAGCCTTTTTTTGACACTTCTATATTCGCAAGTCATTTAATTAATCATTTGCAGTTCTGGTGTATTGTTATTGACGGGTAAAATCAAGACAGCGACAGATGTCGTTGAATACAATGAATCAGGATGAACCCTACGAGGTAAAGATTTCATAAGTAGAGATATTACTGAGGTCCTTTTTGCATGATGAAGTATAATCACCTGGTCATAGTAGTATAGATTATTGTTAAGGGTTTTCGTCCAGGAGTTCTGTTTATACACTGTCAGTTGTGTAATATGTCATGTAATTGCAGATTTTTTTGGAAGATCAGCAACCGGATGCAACATGGAAAAAGATTCAACAGAATACTTTCACGCGATGGGTCAATCAAAAGTTGGAACCAGTGAATGTTAAAGTTACTGACTTGGTATGTTCTGATTCAAAAAAAAAGGAAATCAGAGGGTAGTTCTCCCGTATTGATAACTTATCTCTACTGGTGGATTTTAATACTAATTGATGCTATTAGATTCTACCAGAAATCTATGTATATGTATATATATATACATCTATATGTATATATGTACATATATATATATATATATGTATACATATATATGTATATATATATGTGTATGTATGTATATATATATATAT